GCTTAGACGTGTTGCATCTACATCTGGCAAACAGGCTCCTCACCTCCTTCCTGGCTCTGTCGTTACCTGTTTTTGTTATCAGGGTCAGGCTAGCTTCAAACAAAATGCGGGTTGTAGAAGACTCATCGGTGCCCCCCATATCCCCTCTCTCAGTCCCACGAACGCCAGTCTGGCCCCAGCTGCCAGCCCTATGTCTCCCTATGGGATGCTTTCTCTGGCCCCGGACCCCACCCCACCTGCAGGGAGCACTGGCCAGAATTAATGGTCGCCCCACCTGAGACCAGCCCTCCCCCGTGGCCAACAGGAGTGAGCAGATAAATAGTCCGGCTCCGTCGCTAGGTGGGCAGGATGGGTCTCGGGTGTGCCTTCAATGCCTGGTCGCAGCTCCAGGTGCCCACAGGGGTTGCTGGCATGGCCACGCCCCCCTTCCTTGACTCCCTCCCCCTCCCCGCCTGGCATCCCCGCCTGGCATCCCCGCTCCGCACTGGAGTTTCCTGGGATCCCCTCCCAGATAAAGGGCCAGGACTCAAATTCTTTCAACATCTGCTTCTGGGCTGCGGGGGACCCAAGTGAGATCAGGGGCATTTTCTCCATTTCTCTTTTCTGGAAGAGTTTTTAAAAGAAGGGGGTTAACACGAACACGCCTGACAACTAGTCTTGGCCACTTGGCAAGACCTCGAGTGGGAGGATTTGCCTCTCTGGGCCTCAGTTTCCCCTTCTGCGCGGCATTCACTCCTGATGAAATGAGGCCGTGCCCGGCGAGCCTGGTCGGGACGCGCTTTATTGCCGGCTCCAGCGGGCCAGGTGTTTGAGGCGCCAGCAGGGCTGCAGGCACTGGAGCCTGTGTCTGTGGTGCGGCCAGCTACAGGTGACCTCGGTGGTGGACTCGGAGGAGTACTCTAGAGAGGACTCAGAGTGGCAGGGGACGGTCAGCAGCACCGAGGGGCTGCTGGCTGGTGGCTTCGAGGACCGCTTCCGGCGCCATCTGCTGGTCTTGGGGGCTGTGTCCCCTGGCTCACTCGGTGCCTTGCTGGGGACTTTGCTGGGGACCTTGCTGGCAGGCTGCATGGGGATGATAGTGCCACTCGGAGACTGGACCAGGGGTGGCACCTGGCTGGTGGGGGCACTGGAACGGTGGGTGGACCCCGAGGACCGATGGGCCATCTGTGAGGGGCCGGAGGAAGTGTTGGGGGGCGGAGTACGCTGCTGGGGCTGGCTGGAGGAGTTGCCTTGTGACCGAGGCTGGCCCCTGGCCTTGCTGGGCAGCTGGGAGCCACTGGCAGAGCCGGAGGGCAGCTGGCCCCGGGACCCGGAGCTGGGGGTGCTTGAGGAGCGAGACTGGGAGTTGGCTGAAGTGGCATTTAAGGGGACCCCCAAAGGCTTGTCTGGACCCGAGGGGCGGGAGGGGAGCTCTGTCCGGGAATCCGTCGAGGACTCTTTGGAGGTGCCTGATGTGGCCCCCTTCTTGCCAGCCAGGAGATCCTCGCCAGGGGCAGCGGGCTGCTTCAATTGTCCGTCTGTGGCTGGGTCAGGCCGGACTGGGCTGCAGAGAGAGGGGCAGGTGACATGAGGTGGCTGGGCCCCTGGGGCTCTGCTAAGCTGCTGGAGAGTGGGAAGGAGGCTGTGAGTGCTGGGTTAGCTTGAGAGGCCAGGTGGCCATGCTAAACTGAGACAGCAGAGCACATGCACTCACACACACACAGAGGCGTGCACACACAGAGCAGCACGTCTGTGATGTCCATGCACGCACACACATGCATGCATATATGCACATTGCACACACGTGCACACATACGCACACACAGAGGTGTGCACACGCAGGGCAGCATGTGTGTGATGGCCACATACACACATGCACATGCAATGCACTAGTGCATGCACACGCACATGCATGTATGCATATTGCACACACATTCACACACACACACGCACAGCCCCTACCTCCCCCGGAGAGTTACGTACACTCGGCTCCAAGAGCAGTGGAGGACCCTGCCACAGCCGCTGGGGTGACAAGAGCCCGGCTGCGGGACAGGGCCTGCAGGACTGGTTCCCGAGAGCCAGGAAGAGAGAGGCAGACAGTGAGAGGCGGACAGCACAGGCCGGAGGGGGCAACCAAGATGCCAGCCAGAGGGCAGTGTCAGGAGGGGAGGATGGGAGAGGATGAGCAGGGCGGGTGGACTGGGAGATGGGACAGACAGACGGACAGACAGACGGACAGGCCAAGACCCGGGAGGCAAAAGGCAGAGACAGCCCCGCAGCCCGCGAGCACTCACGGTCCCTGGTTATTCCGGCTGCCGTGTCCAGAAGTCGCCCGCCTAGGTGGCTCAGAGCGCTGTCCACGGCCGCGTGGTGCTTTAGAAACAGCGGCCGGATGACCCGGCGGTACAGCACGAGCGCCCCGTTCCAGGGCCCGGGAGTCATGCAGAACAACAGGAAGGCGCACTGCGGGACAGGCGGCGGTGGAGTCACACGCGGTGCCTGGGCAGGCACTGGCTGTCCACCATCAGACACCCCCTGGGCTGAGCCTGTTTCCCCCGGGGAAGGGGCTGAGTCTCCCCCTCACCCCCGGACTCCTGGTCTCCTCCCCACCCGGCCCCCAGGCTGGGTGACCAACTCCTCCCGGGGACCCCCGTGTTGTGGGCGCCAGGGCTGTGCCCACCTTGCCCGCGTAGTAGAAAGGGAACCAGAACAGGAGTAGATCGCTGAAGAACTCGGCCAGCCCGAACAGGGCGAACACCACCCAGTAGGTGAGCCAGACAGTGTCGTCCTCTTTGCTTGGGCTCTCGATGGCTTTGATTCTGTGGGACGGCGCAGCAGGGTCAGGGATGGCCCCGGGGACCCCGCCCGGCCCCCGCGTGGACACCATTCGGTACTCACGAAGCATATGCGGGGTAAACAAAGCCGATGAGGTTGCAGAGTAGAGACGCCCCGTAACCAAACAGCAGACACAGGCTTAGCAGAGTGACAGCTCCTACAGGAGAGAGCGG